TTTTGTTTTCTAACTTTTATTAAAATAAACTATTTATAATGAAACTGTCTGAAAACTGGCTCCCATAAATAAATACCAACTTTACCAAGTTATGTTCAATCAACTGAGATGGTTTGGACATGTGCAACGCTAACCAGAAACAACCCCAGTGTAAAGAGTCCTGGGAATGTCAGTGGAGAGGGAAAGAGGGAGAGGAAGACCTGGAATGAGATCCTTAAATGTGATATAGAAGAGTACAGCATCTCTGCAGAAGTTGCTTTGGACAGGACAGAATGAAAGAGAAAGACTCAAAGTGCTGATACTGTATAATTGGGAAAAGGACAAGAAGAAGAAGACTGAATATCTGTCCTTGACTTTTGTTCATTGTCATGGTGAATGCCTGGATAATGGGAAATTGAAGTTGTATAATTGTAAAAGAGAAATGGTATCTGAGTAAGCATGTGGATAGCAGTAAAAAGAAACAGAAACAAACTCAAAAAATTATTCATAATAATAAATCAAAACAAAGAACACAACAATAAACTTACTCCCTCAATAACCAGAAAGCAAAGACCCAATCTCCCTCCACAGTGTTCACTGTCAGGATCTGTACATTGATTGTGTTGTTAAACAGACCACATTTAATTAATCTCATTCCATTAATCAACCCTTTTTAGTGTCAAGATTCCTGATGAGCATGACTATGGCTCTGATTTTTAATGTTAACTTATGTGATGGATCTCAGTTGTGTGCAGAAATTCTCTTGTTATCTCAAGAATATATTGCTAGGTATTCTCAAGTAGTTACAGTTTTCCATGCAGAATGTTCTCAAGATCATCATGAGAATGGGTAGAATACAACTCCACTTTTCCATTATGGTAACAGCCACTAAAATGAAAGTTGTTTCTACTACAATATTCAACTTGAGTGATGCAAGTTTGTTGAGGTTCGAACCTGTTCTAGAGCTAATTTCATTTAGTTGTCTGATGCTGAGGATTGCAGACTTACTTCTTTTGCTCATGTTCCCCAATGTTAAATAAGAAAATGAATGGTTAAATTAAAAGTAGGCTAATTGTAATGTAATTAGTATGTTAATTAAGATAAACAGCTTACATTAAGGTGAAATTATCAATTATATAAGGAAAATAATTAAAAAAAAAAAAAAAATAGGAAAAAAGCATAGTTTAACTATGCATAACAATGACAACTTTGTGCAAGAATTGAACAGAACAAAGAAAAACAACCCAATGACAATCTCATCAGAAGATGGTATATGTCAACTTTATGACCTGAGAGAGTGTCAACTTAAACTTTTTCAGAGACAATGGTGACACTTTATGAAACCTTTCCCTCGACCCTTAGTCACCTTTTGAGAATTTTGCACTTTTCAATATGACAAGAATGGCCAATTTTAGTCAGTCAGTGCCCATTCTCCAAGTTGTAGGGATTAATGTTTTGTGCCTTCCCATCCAGTCGGACGTGTGCTTCATCTGAATTTGTCCGAGTGCTACTGAATTTGTCCGAGTGCTACTCTACACAGATTGTCTAAAGCTCTGTCTCCTTGACAACTATTTTCTGACGTGAAGAACTGTTTGTCTGTGCTCCAATATGGGAATTATTTGTCAAGATTTGAATCTCCCGAAATTTGTAAAACTCTTTCTCTATGATAACAACATATGCAACTGCAAATACTGTCTTACTTAAGACGGATACCACACTGTACAAACTTTCATGCTATCTAATAAATGTTTAAGTGTAGTTAATTGTGTTGAGTGACTCCTTCCAACTGAATCTCATCATTTCCTACTCTATCCTTTTACCATAGTCTCATATATGAGATCACATCATTACCATCCATAAAAACACTCAAAATGTCTAGTAGATTTAACCTACATGGTGTTAGGAATTTCTAGCGTAATCATTTACATTCAGTGATAAGGCCCTGAAGGCTATGGAAGGCTATAGGAACTTCACAGCTGGTGTCAATTAGGCTATCCTGGCCCTCACAACTGTTATAAACACTTACTTTTATTTTTCATAGATTTAATATTAATAAATTTAAATATCATAAAATTAAGAATTAATGTTAAAAAATAATGCAAAATTCAAAATTTAGCAAAAGTAGCAGGTACGGTTAAAAAAACTAAATCACTAGAAGACATACAAGTACCTGACATATTTATCATCTAGACTTAACATTGTAAACAAACCTTTGCCACTCTGCCATGCCTGAACCATAGCACCTTTCTCAAATCTTTCTTCAGCAGCATCCTCTACAGAGTAAGAGATTTGATACCTGAACCATATTTTCAGCTCCAGCTGTTTACTCAAAGTAAGTCAGACAGAGTGAAACCCCCTCTCATTTAATATATAGATTAATTAAACAAAATAATTTGTATTTTATTTGTTAGCATTTTTTGACTAGTACACCTATCATTGACCTAATTACTTGGAATGGACTAATTTTATTACTTTTTTTATTGCTTTTTTACTGTACTTACAAATATAAACTGATTGATCTTATTTGGTTTGGAACTATTAAAGTGAGTGGATCAAAGTTTTTATCATCGTCAGTAAAATGGAGCCAGTGCCATTGTCTAGAGTTGCATTTCCAGATAGTTCTCAAGCAATTTTTTTATACATCAATTAGAAATTCAAGAGTTGTTTTGAAACAACTTTTAACTTATTTATTCAGAACAATTATTGTAAATTGACACTAGAAACATACATAATCCATTGGCAAATATTTTAGTAACAGTAAAAACTGTAGGCAACAAAATTATTTAAAAATACATATTATTTTAACAGTTTGAAATAACCAATTTCAGGAAACATCAGGGTTCAAATTTGGAACAGTATTGTAGTAGGCAGAAGTCATTGCCAAGCAGCTCATTGACATGTCATCCTTATCAAGTTAACTGCAATAACTAGTTTTCAGCTTTAACTTGGAAACTGTCATACATGATTGATAAGTTGTGTAAGGAACCAAGTCCGAGCATTATTTTTATTTACTTTTATTTTGCTTTTTTATTACATTTTTGTTTGGGGCTTATGTTTTGTTAGGACGAAGGTTTCCTCACCATTTCACCTTAGAAACTTAAAAATAGAAGAGAAACCAACTCACCAATGAGAGAAAAGCGCCGTAGAAAAAAACTCACGCACACTTGCGTTCCCAAGCGGAAAAAAGTAAGTCTGCACCGAGAAAAAGGGGGGGAGAAGACCCCACAAGCACAACTTAAATTCACTAAACCTTAAAAGAATAAAACATCCCGAAAATTGTAAAAAAGAATAATGTAAAATGTTAGCGAGTGTTGTAGGAAAATAGGCTGCCAGACAAATAGAAAAATTTATTGTTAGCAAATAAGTATGTAAATGAGGGGAGTGATCGCATTCAGAATTGTGATGTCACCTCACAGTATAAAGACTGAACCTAAAGTGAAGACGGACGAGGTGAACTCCAGTTAGCAACGAGCTTGGTGAGCTTTGTAGCAGTGAAGAAGAGAGGTGTCCAATAGGATAAAAGTAGTTTTTGAAGTTATTCGATTTGTGGATCGACGAATAGAGAGTCTTGAGAGTTGAGGAAATAGGTTCCTAGTATATTGAGGTGACGATTAGGATCTTTAATTCATAAGAATTATTGTATATAAGTTATTTCTTTGATTTTGTCGAATTCCAAAGGGGAGTAGAATTAAGTTAGAAACTAGATTGATTTGAGTTTTGTCGGATTGATTCTTATTGATTTTCATTGAATAAATTGTTATTTGATTTTTACTAAATTTTGTAAATAGTTTATTACTAGAAATTAATTAAATATTTGATTTGTTATTGACAAACTTTGTCATTATTTATTTTCGGTGCACGCTAAAAGTTCAGGCCTAGCCCACTAACGCAAATCCGCGTAAAGTACCCGTTAGAGAACGGCTATTTCCGGCACACAGTCGTGTCGATAATCGTTGGAAAAGTCGGAAAAATAATATAGTACTTTACAGTTGGAAAAATGAATTTTATCTTCCAAATATTTTTGCTTGTGATATGTAAAACAATAAGACAATATTAGATAAATGATAAGCAATGATAACTATTTAGAAGAAACAGTTTCTTCTAAATAGTTATCATTAAATATTTGACAGCTCTCATAGTTAGCATTAAATATTTGACAGATCTCATAAGTATTACAAACAAATGCTATTAGTCAAGATTATTATTTTATTTACAATACAAATAAAACTTGCATCCATGAATATGCTTCCCTTCTAATTTGTTGTTTTTTAATTCTTTAAGAGGAAAAAATTCATTAACGTGTTGTCATTTTTAATGTAATGCATATTTGATATTGCAAAAAAATATTAACGCTGTCTGTCAGCATTATTATTTTACTTGAAATATTACTTTAGACAATTTCAGATTGTCTTCTTCGGATATAGAATAATGGAACCTTACAATTTAAATAATACATTAATGTGTTCCCAATATTTTAAATTTACCATTTGGAACACATTAACGTATTATTTAAATTGTAAGATTCCATTATTCTATACCTAAAGAAGAGAATCTGAAATTGTCTAAAGTACTTTCAAGTAAAATAATAATGCCGACAGACAGTGTTACTATTTTCCTAAGCTATTCGGTGTTGCATGAAGCAATTTTGAGCATTTGATATTGCAAAAAATAATTTATGTTAAATACATTGGTTCACTTGGCCCACATATTTCAACATATTTTGACATTAATTATAGTTAATCACATATATTAACTTATTAATTTGATACTTCCACATTTTCCAGTTATTTTGCAAGGGACAATATGTGAAGCTTGCCAATTTTATTTCTCCAGTATTCTCTATGCACTGGAATAAGAGATATCTTGGCTAAAATAATTATTAATTTGATTTCTTTAATTTTGATATTGTAAAATGAAAAATTTTTTTAAAATTCACTTAACTAAAACAAATTCAAAGTAGAATACCATTAAATAGTAAAAAAAGTCAAGAAGTCTAGTAGAAATGGTTTGGCAATACGTACGTCTTACGATGATCGTGGCATTTATAAATTCGCCAATGATGGATTTGTTAATGAAACACATGTAATCCCCCGTATCCGATACTCGGGCCGGAGAGATGATTAATGAATTATTTGTGTCGTAGATACGAATTCTCTCGTCTGACTTGTTTAAGTGTTCTCCATCTTTCAACCTGTAAAGTCAAGTCAAATATTAATATCTGAAAGTAGTATTAAAATTTTGATCAAAACATTTTCTTCAGATGGATGATAACAGAATTGTTCTCATGTAAAAAAATCCAGCAACAAGTTGCTTAACTTTATAATATTCGCATCATACATATCATAGTCATACAAATCAATCAAACTTTTGGTTTTACTATTTAATTTAAAAAACATTTTGTGTCATTACTTAATGATCAGATTATTTTAATGCAACTTACACAGGATTTTCCAATAAGAGTGATAGAACTTTAAATTGAATTAAAATGAAAACTACAAAAGATAATATGGCAGTAATTGTTTTATTTTATAGTACATTTGGTAGCATTACACTTGAAAAACAATATCATTTAATTGGCCCTCAAGATTACATTTGACAGAGTGAATGTACAAATATACGAGCTCTAAGACGGCTTTTCTTTTTCACTAGACTTATTATTAGAGTGAATGTAATTAACCCAATTTTCAATGACTGGCACATAAAATCATATTGTATCTTGCCAAGAACACAAATGATATTCACTTTAAGGTTGTCAACAGTTTATGGCTTGTTAGAATAAAGAAAGGATTTAGCGTGACCACATAAAAAGTAATCCAATATAGTTAAGTCACAAGTTTACAATGGTCAGTTAACAGCTGCAGTTCTTGAAATAATTCTATCACTGAACTTTGACTTCAATAGTGCAATTCTATTATAAGTTTTAGGTCACTTACATTGACCATAAATCAAACAAAGTGCACAAAATATTGACCAAATTGAATAAGAATTTTGATAATAAATTTTAATAATTTCAACACATTGAGGGACTGTAAATCTTGCCATGATGATTTGCTAAACATTATAGAATAGATATGTAAGTTAACCTGGCAATCAAATAAAAAGTATGGCACCTATGACAATTTAAAGTTCTATCACTCTTAATGAAAAACCCTGTATAAATGTAAACAACTTAGTAACTAGATTATATTATAGAAAACATCCATCAAACACCGTAACTCCAGTTTTTAAAAACTGTTTGTTCCAAATTTATGTTCTTATTTAAAATATTTCTGTAACTTGATGATGGTTGCTTAAGGCAATTGAAAACATTTGTTAATATATAGTTAATTGGGGCCTCCTGTCCCCAAGCTTTCCGTGTCCGGTCTCGGCTTTCGTATATCTAACACCGTTCTCGAGATTAAGGAAGGGCAACGGCAGGAATTCACGGAATTAATACGTAACTCACCATTCCACAGTGCAATTTACGCAGACGGTTGTTTCACATTGAAGAACGAGTTCTTTCCCCGGTAAAAGAGTTAATCCTTTCCCTGCTTCTTCTTCATTTGTTTTTATCATGTTATCTAAATTAGAAATATCACGATAGTTTTTAGATGTTTTGTTCAATATAAACATTGAAATTTCAAAAAGATTATAGGAGTACAATAGTGCATATTCTCTATAGAAAAGTCAAAGGCATTGGAACACAAACTTAAAAATAATAATAATAAGAGGACTTTAAGATGAAATAAGTCTTATGTAAATTAAACAGTTCATATCTCTACTTACCATCACAGCTATAGTTTAATCTTAATTCTCATTAATAAATTATAATTAAAAAAGCATTTTTATTAACAATGACAATAAAATGTATGATATTTCAATATAATGTCATCATAATTATTGGCAAAAAAGTTAAAGAATAATTTCCTTTTTTTTCTTTATTATTACAATTCAAATTTATAGAATTAAAATTTGCATGATTTACATTAGCTATGATGTATTTGAATGTTATTAAGATTACATTAATAATCAAGCAACCAATATTACATTAGACACAAACACAATTATAATATTTATGATTATTTTATATTTTAAAATTAAGAATAATTATAAATTAATTTTTTCTGGCATTTTTTCTTACTACCAACAACAATAAAATTAAAAAGTATCTACATCAGCGCAGCAGTGAAATCAATAAAATCTTTGTTTCAATTAAAGTTCTTGCCAAGAATTATAATTTCAACTTTTTATAATTAATATATTAAAATAAAGACAGCGAATTTCCATTACAAGGTACTTAATAGAATATAACAGAAAACTAAACAATTGATATAATTAACTCAAAAATAATAAAAATATAGTAAAAATTGTTACTCTGACTAAATTGAAATATAATTTCTGTCCAGAATAAAAGGAAAAATTTAAATAATTAAAAAATAACAAATGTATATGATTAGATCTTACCATTTATTACAATAATGTGTTGAGAAAAAGGACTGACACTACTACATTTATATTCTCCCGAATGAAAGGTGTCTGCCCGTTCCACGGATAGTTTCATTAATATGTAAAATTCGAGTAATTCTTTCTCTTGGTCATTTCCGGAAACGAGTTCTTGAGCTAGGTGATAATTATTGACGACGTTCGGCGATATGAGTTTGCCATCTTTGTACCACATGTGAAGTCCGGCCAACGGAACTTTACACGTGAGCGTAAATTTATTTCCCTGTTTCACGAAAGTGACGCCGCTCGGACCATTACTACATTCGATAACTAAATATAAAGAAAGAACAATTTTACTTATGTGTAACTAAAAGTTTGTTACTAGGAATATGAGGGTTGTCCCAAAAGTAATGCACAGTTGGCTCTAACTCGAAAAATATTTATTGAAGAAGATACAAATGATTACAGGCCTTCAAAATAATCCCCTCCCTTATCGATGCACACTTGCCAATGGCTTGGAAGTGCTTGGATTCCGTTCGGCGTCCCCTTCTTATTGAGCATCCGAATCTGTCGGGTCACTTCTCTTTGGCACTCTTCCAGCGTTGGAAAATGCACCCCCGAAGAGGTTCCTTCAGCTTGGGGAAGAGATCGAAGTCGGGTGGGCTCAGATCGGGACTATAAGCCAGGTGGCGGAGCTGTTCCCAGCCGTACTTTTTGAGAAGTTTGATGATCCGCGACCTTTCGTTTGCCTAGCACCCGTGTTAAAATATGACTCGTTTTCAAGATTCCTGTCTTCACCTCAATTTCTCTTACCGTGATTCTCCGGTCTTTATCAAGCAACGTTACAATGATTGAAGCATTTGTGTCGTCGGCTGTTACAGTAAATAGCTGCCCCGCGCGTGGATTGTCTTCGATGCTTGTTCGACCTTCTCGAAACTTCGTGTGCTACCTCTGTACTGTGCTACGATTCACAGTAAACCTTCCACAAGCTTCTTTTAATGCGGCACGAATTTTGGGCACTTTTTTACCGCGCACTGTTTCGATGCAAATATACGCACGTTGCTCTATTGCTGAAATCCAACCTGATGGACTGTTCTCGTTGTCTTTTCGAATTTTTAGCATTTTTCCTTTAAACAAATCCCACTACCATATGATACCAATGTGTTTGTAAGACTTCAATCTACACACTAATGCTTCGATCAGCTGTCTATGTTGCCTACAACGCCTGCTAGAGCGCATTGTGCATTAGTTTTGGGACAACCCTCATATTTATGAAAATAATTTTAATCTGACTATAAGTAATGTTTAGATATGTATTTTGTTTATTGTAACCTATATTTTTGTTAAATTTATTAACCAAATGATCCAATTTTAATTCTTTATCATTTTTAATAAAATATAAAATTCATCTGGATACGAGTCCAAGTTTACTTGCCATGTCTAATCACCAGGAACAACTATTTCTATTGCAGAGACAACCTTTCTTTAGAGGCTATGCCTCTGCACGAATATGTA